CAGCACTGCTAACCACTGAGCCACCATGCCACCTGTATTGCTATCCTTCAGTAGCAGTAAAGACCGTTGCACTATTACCTCAAAATTTTACCAGCATTTTTAAATCATTTGCAAATATTAAAACATTTATATCACAGAATTATGATATCCTGTAGCATGAATGTAGGTCATTCTGCTTTCATATCTGCTCATGCCCATTGAAAGGGCTATCCTTTTACCGCATTCTTGACCCTAGTCATGTCAAACCAACTCAAACCTATCAGTGAGACAGAATCCAAGACACTTTTCTTTGTGGATAGAGTTTATGAATTACTCAGTCTTGCTGCCCCTCCCAATCACCTATTCCCCCTCAATATCTATGCAGTTATTAATTAATCAATTAACCCCATTCACTTGCTTAGCTTCTACTGAATTGAAAAGTTCTGTACTTTTCCTGTTTCTAAAAAAAAGCTAACACCTTTTTTGACAATTTTTAAAAATCTACTTCCACCATCTTTTCAGATAATGCATCTCAGATCGTTGTTATTCATAGTAAATCATTATTTTCCCTGTTATTCTTTAGCCCATTGCTTTGCACATACTCCCACCACGAAGAATGGAAATGTCCACCAGATCTTGTACTTACCAGATACTTGGGTGTTCATGTGATGGACTTGCTGCCAAACTGTGTCCTAGAGCAACAATGTCCCACCCTACCTGCAGCTGCAGATCACCTGGAGAGAGCAAGATCACTGTGTCAGGTTGCAGCTACTGGCAGCGAAGCATCATGAAGACCAGGAGTAGTGGGCCCAAGAGGGAACTTACCAGTGGGAATCATGGGTTGGGAGTAGCAGGGCGGGTGGAACCAGGGGTTGGAAGTATGAGCAAGGGACTGGCTTTCAGTAGCCTCTCTGTTTCTCTCTCTCTCTCTCTCTCTCTCTCTCTCTCTCTCTCCCTCACTGTTTCCCCCCTCTCCCTTTCACCCTCTCTTTGTCTCAATTCCACTCTCCCACTCCATCACTCACCCACTCCCTCTCACTCTCTCTCTCTCTCTCACTCATTCTCCCTCGCACTGTCTTTCTCTCTCCCTCGCATTCTTTCTCGCTTTCCATGCTGTATTACTCTATGACTCTGTCACTCACTGTCTCTCTTCCACTCTCCCACTCCCTCTTTTTCTCGCTGTCTCCCACGCAGTCACGCTCTCTCTCTCTTTCACTTTCCATGCTGTATTACTCTACGACTCTCTCACTCACACTCTATTTTCCACTCTACCACACTCCCCTCTTTGTCTCTTGCACTCACTCACTCTCTTTCTCCCTCCCTCTCACATGCATAAGTTAATTCCTGTGGTGACAACAAAGCTGGCAGAGATCTTTCAAATGTCAACTTGCCCAATTATCATGATTTTCCAACCATCTAAATTAATGGCTGCAAAATTGGGGATCACAAGCTAGCCTTGACCAGTCTTTCTCTGAGACATGCCTTTCAATTTCTCTGTTGAAAATGTTGTGATTACTAAGAATGCAACTAAATTAAAGACATATTTCTTAATCTTGAGATTCTTAATTGAGTTAATGGTAAAATGAAATTCTGCACTCATTAAAAAAATGCCATTTTGGACGTTACTACTTTTGGATTTGTGATTTTTCTGTATTTTTGAGATCATTAAGTAAAAGGAAACCAAATATTTTGATGCTGAAGCTTGCTTTTTATGTTTGCACTTGGGATGTAGGTGATGGCAATCATGTATTCAGTGTCCCAGCTTAGTGATCCTGTGAAAGTAATGGTAAGCCAGCTTCTTCTTCAACTGCTGTGTTTATTATGTTGCTGCTGCTGCTCTGTAATGTGAAGTTGGTAATTTTGGGACATCGATCCAGAGATGAACAGATCATCTTAAAACAGAGTAAGAAAGGTAGCTCAATTTTAATTCTGCAAAAAATGAATTGAAGGCATTGTTAAAACAAGAAATGCTGGGAATATTCAGCAGGCCTGGCAATATCTGCAGTGAGACAAACCGTTAACTTTCTACATCATTGACCTTTTTCTATCAGAAGGAGTTATGTTGAAAGGAGTGGTGACAATTTGAGTATTTTAACCTAATCCACCTGACTGGAATGAGGCATATTCCAATTGTTTTACATCATGTCCTATTTTTACTTCCCATCAAAGTTGATTTAAGTCTGACATTTGTATACCATACCACCCAAATGAGCCTCATTCCTGCTAGGTTCAATTCTAGGTTAAATTCCTTATAAAAATGACCCTGAGCTGTCAGTTGTTTCTCATTTCAATTACCCGCTCCAAACTTTCTGTCCTTGGCCTGTTGCAGTTTTCCAATGAATCTCGCATGCAAACCCAAGGAATAGTATATCACTTCTCAACTTGACAATCTACAGATTTCTGGACTCAACAATATTAGATCTGGTTTGATTTATTTCACTTTTTTTCTTTTTCCATCACCTTGCATTCAGATAGCTGCCATTCAGCCCTTTACCTCTCATTTGGGCACATCCTTTTGGTCGTTGTATTTAATTCATTAACATCATACCTTTTGTTTTTTTCATGTCTCTGCCTCGACCCCAGCACAGACCTTCCCTTTTTGTTGTCAACTCCTCCCCTGACCCTTTTCACTTGCTTGAAATTTATTCCATTTCTATCTTTCCTCAGCTGTTCATCATAACCTCAGATGTTATCTCTATTTCTGTCAGCAGATGTTGCCTGATCTGCTGAGTATTTCCAGAATTTTGTTTTCACTTTGGATTTCAAGCAACTGCAGGATTTAGTAAGGTTCAGCATTGATTTTTTTTTGTGCCTTCCTAACAAAGTTTCCAAGCTCCACCAAGGACTGCTAAATGAATATGGGTTCTGTTTATTTGAGAACCCAATTATAGGTTAACTCCGTAGACAGATTTATTGCAGAAGTTCAGTACATGTTGCAGACAGTCACACACCCTTACACTTGCATGCCCTGCTAGATTGACAATAGCTGCTAGTCATATGTTCTACATCCTGCTCATTTGGTTGTTAGCATTTTTCTTCTTAAACTGATTTCACAACTTAGTGTGCCACTGAGTGTTACCATGCCATAGTTGCTTCATGTATCAGGTTACGTCATAATCCAAATACTCAGCAGAGATTTAAAATATCAAAACTCTGTCTATGGATTCCAGGTGATGAAGTGGCAACTGCCTTACAATCTTCAGGGGAATCTTCAATTGTACCATATTAGTGAAATAGTCAGACTTTAAGAACCCACTTGTTGCCGAGAATAATTTTTAGTTCATGCGATCTCCAACCAAATCCCATAAAATGTTGAGTAATTTAATGTAACAAAGATGTAATGCCTTTGTAATTTGCAACAATGTCATAACAGTTGAATGGTGATCACTTACCTTTTCAAAACTAAATTAACATTTAGGTAATTATGGGCTGTTAAATATATCGGAAATTAAATAGCCAATTATATAAGTGTTAGCAATTCTACAGCTCAAATTTATTGTACCTATTTTACAGAATAGTTAGTGTGAAAAATTAGGATTATTAAGTCAGTGCACATGACATTGTAGAGCAATCCTCAGCTATTTCACAAACATTACACTGATTAATAGAAATATTTTACACATTATCATCAAAGATATTCAAATTAACTTAAAACTACTAATGTTTATGGTCATTTTGGTAGTGCTTAACTGAGTATTGCTGAAAAAGACACGTTTTGTAGAAGCTTTTCAACTTGCTCTCATCAGGACAATTCACGAGAAAACCAATTTAAGGCAGACCAACATTTATACCGTACAAATTGGGAATGCTGTTGAGTTGATCAGCAGATCTTGAGTGGTTGAGTCATTGTCAGGCAAATGCACCAGTTAATGATAACTGATAGGTAAAGCCCTCGTATACTATAAACATTGGTTTTCTTCTTAAATTGATATTCTTTGCAAATTGACCTGATGCGTGCAAGTCATAGAGTCTCAAAGCTTGGACAAAATGTATGTTTTAGTGATTACTGATATGCTTCAGTTGAACATCTTTATTTTAGCAGCAGTTAAAGAAACATTTGTCACCCTGCTTAGATGAAAGAGAATTCAAATGTTGGCAAGTGAACTAAAACCAAAATACCTTATTCTGAAAAATTTATTACAGTACATGCCAGCATTAAGTATTTTCCACTGGAAGTTCTCATGAAGAAGAGAATACACCTGCTCAATTATTTCAAACGGCAGAATTATGGCAACAATGTAATTCCTACTAATGTACGATAGCAATGGTACACCCTGACAATTCTAGTGCATTCCTGTTGTTCAGACTGATAGCTATATAAAGAGCTGGAGGACAGGGGAGAGAAAGTGTCTGCAAACCACTGATTCTATACAGAAATTGCAAATTGTTCATGTGTGTAAACTTAAGAATAATAAAGAACTCAATCACTGCGTGGCATTGGATGGGATAAGTTAGTGAGGTAACGGCTGTTTGAGACAGTTTATATTACCTGACTTGATACTTGCACAGCAAAGGCCAAGGAGACCATAGATTTGGTGTGTGAGATTAGACTTACAAGCACCACTGTCATCCTGTGGATGAATAAAAGGGAACAGCCACTTTTGTAGGACCATACATGATAACGCTCTCTGTCATAAAGGAATCCCGCTCTCTGCAAACATTACTTTAGCTCAAGACTATATTCAAGAGAGCAGCAAGAAAATTTGGAGTAAAAACTGCCGACCAATACTCAATGCCTATTTAAAAATAGTACTTTTCTTCATTAGTTATAGAGGATATGTGCTACGACTCAATATCGTTCAAAATCGTATTGTTGGGCAAGGCAAGATTTTCTGGCTCAGTTGGCCTTTAATATAGTTTATGCCTTTTATTTAAATAACAGTACCTTAGTTTCCTGCAATTACCTATTTGCCTTTTAATTATTCCATACAGAAGCTCCAATTAAATCATATAGATCCTGTTGCTAAAATCTTTTGAATGTGGTCTTTGAGATAATTGACTTTTTTTTTCTTTCCTAAAAGGTTGTTGAAGGGACACTACCCTGATTACTGTGGAACGAACACTGCAAAACAGCTAGATATTTGGCTTCAAAATGGAATAACATGCCTGACGTGTTTAGTTTATTCATTTCATTACAAGCTGTGTCGTTGGATTGAAGTGTTTGGCAAAGAAAGAAAGGTTAGTGAAACACTTGATGTAAAAATAAAGCCGTGGACTTTTGCTTGTGCTGCGTCTATTTTTCAGGCAACAAAGTGTCCAAGGAGGCATGTTGACCCTTTTGAGTCTGGAAGCACACGAAATGACATACGGTATTAGTTAGGGTACCCTATGCTCACCCAGAATGCCCACTTCACTCCAGACCTATTATTCTTCATTCTTTCCCTTGGTTTTTAAAAAAAAGGACATAAGTCATGTTTGTACATTTGAACCTAGGCTATCATGGTACTAGGCTAGAAGATGCAATCTATTAACAGTAAAACTAATAACTATATCATCCAGAATAGATGGTGTATTCTGTCGATTGGATTTGAATTTATTGTAGGCCCAATTCAAAATCAAAGATACAGTATGGCACTGAATACTTCCAGATGGAACGCATGTTACCAGTCAACCTGAATCAACATTTAACTTGATTCTTCCCTTAAAATCAAAAGTTCTCTCCATTGTATGAAGATAAATGAAAATGAATGAGAAGAACTAGTAAAGTCATTGGTGATCTTTACTAGAGTTAATCATGTGGTTTGATGTGGTTTCCGTCAATACTTCGTCTGTTCTGAAACAACTGAAAAATACTTAACAGAAATGTTCCTGTTTGGGACCAATACTCCAAATAATGTATAAATCAAGAGGAAAAATATCATTGTTGACACACCACAGTCTTGAGTCCGCTAAATGGGATTTTAGCAATCTTAGCTCAGTTTGGTCTTGGTTTAATCTTAGCCAAGTATGTTTAGAGATGTTCAGTCAACACCTCTTCAAAGTAAAGTTCTTTGGGTTAGAATCAAAAAATATGTTGCTCAAAGGTAACGTTTGAAATATAGCATTTTTTACATTTGGATTTATGATAATAGCACTAATGCTTTGAGCACAAATGAAATCTTTAGTTTAATGCAAAACAAGGTCAAGCTAATCATTCTGCTTTCAATTTATCTTGGATACGATGTCATATTATTTATATTTTCAAATAATCCTGGAAATGACTTCCAGTACATTGTTTTCTGATTGTTGTCTCAATATAAATAGAGCTACATCATGAGTCATGGTAAACGTTACAAGCTAGTGATGAGAATTTGGGTTTGTGCAATATTTGAGTTGGCCTTGAAAGGCCTGAATGCAACTAGTCAATGGTCAGACCCAAATATGAAATGTTAAACTTATAATAACAGATGTTAATCTAGGATCATAAATGTGCTTTCCCATGACAACAAACATAGTTGAGGCCTCTTTCTGTGGTTTATTAGGCAATCTAGCACAAACTAAAGGAGTTTAGCCTTCAGCATACTACATGCGTACCTTAGCATGAGTATTGCAGGTTACTTAGAGAACAATTGTATGGATAAATGCAGTAGTATCATGAAATCCTCAAGTCACATTTCGCTCCCATTAAACACAATGCTTAAAATTTGCATGAACTTTGCACTTGCAATATACATTATCACAATATGTGCATTCACTTCATAAGTTTGAGCATGCTCACCATTACTATTTAGAATATTTTACTTTTTTCTTAATAAAGGATTACATGTCCAGTGTTTTAATCTCATCCATCTTAAAAACAACCAGACAGCTTCTTACATCTCCAAAATTAAAACAAAGCTGAAAGAAAAATATTTGCATTTGGCTAGCACCCCTCTTGGCCTCAGTATGTCCTGAAGCACTTTACAATAAATAAAGTGGTTTTGAAATGGACTTGCTGTTGTACATGTAGGAAATGGGATGGCCAATTTCTACACGGCAAGGTCCCACAAAAAACAATGAGATAAATAGCCCAATATTCTCTGTTGGAAGTTAATTGTAGGATAGATGGTAACTATCGTATGGTGAAAAACATCCTTGTTTTTCTTCAAAATAGTGCTTTAGAATCTTCCACATTCACCTCAGAATTCACTTTGTGACAGGTGCTGTCCCATGGATAAGATAACATGTTGTAAAATAGAATAGTTTTGATGAGGTTAATGTTCATGTTACATTGGCTTCACCATAGTTCTACATGTCACATACAGTCTGTGGTTAGAGCCTAAGAGTTCTACCCCAACTTTCAAAGGGAGCATTCTCTATTCTCTGCCAGTTCCTTAAATGTCCTTGTAATTGACCAAATGTAGTTACAGTGATTGATATCATATAATAATCACCTTGTCATCTAAGAACAATGTTGCTTCTGTAGATACTGAACAGGGTTGTGTCTTCTACCACTAATCACGAGATGAGCCAAAGACAAAGAAAGGTGTGTGGCAGCGAGTTCCCTCAAACAATCCTTACCCAATACCACATACTGGTAGTGGTGGCAAATACCATGAGGTGCCAGCAGTGATCAACTGGGAAAATACCATAGAGTGCAGCATTCACTCAGTAATACACTGACTTCATTGATCACAAAATCTGGCCATATCTGATGGAGTGGGACTTGTGCCCAAAACTTTCAGAGGTGAGGGTGCTGCTGATGAGTCCTGGCTGACACCTAATAGCATTAATATTAATCTCCTGTCAAAATGGCAGGCATTGGTAAGCTATGAGGAATGTATGGATTCCTCCTCTTCCCCACCCCAGCCCCCACCACCAACACATGTGCACGCACATACACTCTCTGTTCAGAAATAAGGAAGGGTGACTTCATGAGCGGATATTGGATGGCACCGGTGGTTGTCTGGCCACACCCAGCTTACTTACAGGTTCAGACACAGCACTGACTGAAAAATAATAACCCACACAGACACAACAAAACAGCTATGAATGGTACATTGTACTGCTTAAAAATCAGATTTGAGTTTTAACCGAGACCTACGAAAGTGGAAATCTGTGCCATTTGTGTCAAAGATCCGTAGGCAACTTTTAACATCGAAACTATACTGGCAGCAGCCACCAGTTTATAACTTTGTAGCTGTTTGCTAACTAGACACCAGCAGTACCAGCCAACTCTCTCTCCATAGATGTGTGAAAAGGAGTTATGCAGTGGTTCAGTCCTTTATTCTTTGTTCTTAATCACCAGGAAACTCCTGGTATCAGTCGCACTGTTGAATTTTATAACATACAGGGGACTACATAGCTGCTATGTTGTATTAATGCAGTATTTCTGTTTTGGTGTCATTAACCAAGAGTGAAAAGGGAGTCAATTAAGATTCATGTAGTTGACAGCTTCTGAGGTGACCCGGTCTCAAATTCAGCCACACTTGCTGCTTTTGAAGCCATAAGACCTAGCAGCAGAAGCAGTCCATTCAGCCCATTATGTCTACTGCACAATTCAGGGAGATCACGGCTGATCTGATAATCTTCAACTCCATTTTCCTGCCTTTTCCCCATGACCCTTGATTCCCTTACAGATTAAGTATCTATCTCAGCCTTGAATATAGTTTAATAAAAAACACAGATTGACCACCTTCTGAAAGAAAAAAATTCTTCCTCATCTCTACAGCCAAGTATACTTTATCCTCTTTCTGGCAAATCCAGTATATATCAGATACCTTAGACAGCTTGCCCAGCTCTGAGGAACAACACTTTAGGCTGTGTCCACTCTGGTCAATGGGTGCTAATGACTTTGGGAATAAACATCATGGGAGAAATTAAACCTTGAAGCTCTGCTTCAAACCTTTCTTCATTTGATCCCCCACCTGGCTAAATACAGATCACAGAACTCTCTCATACATTACAGTACAAAATAGCATGAGAATTCAGGAGTGACTATCAGAAGTTGACTTCAGATCTTTGTATCAGCGATGCTGCACTCCATGTGTGCACTATGTATGTCCAATGGCACTTGCAGAGATTGGTGAGAGTGATGCAGAGTGCTGTGAAATGCTGAATTGCTCATCACCGTTGGTAGTTCTGAAAGAGGAAAAGCTAATTGTCAACAGTGTTTGCACAGCAATAGATTCTGTGCAAGGTTTTTCTGCTAAGTGTATGTCAATATGCTTGTGAGTGAGCAAAGGATAATTTAATTTGGGAGGATCTGAATAAAGGGTACCAGCTCGACATTTGAGAAAGGCCTCTTCCTTCCATACTCTGCATACTTTCATACCGAATGATGGCTTACTGAAAGGAAAGCAAAGATTTTTGATTTTTATAATCCTCAACCTTTTCATGTTTGCATCATTTTCTTTTTGGAAGTCATTTTGTCAGCATACACAACACTTCAGATACTGTAAGCTTACAAACAAATCAAGTGATGGAATTGCGTCCATCCTTTGGCTGATCCCACATGTCTGTAAATGAAATGTAACTAGCTTCTTTTGCCAGACTGTGCAGTCTGGAGACCTTTAAGATTTCAATCTAATGTCATCATTTCAGAACAAAGTTGTGGTTTGTATTTGTTTCCATGTTGAAGCATGGTCGCACATGCTAAGCATTTAATGAGTTGTAACGTTGTAAAGTTGTTGGAATGTTTTGTATCAGCAGCAGTGAATGATTAAAGGTTATCGGAAAACATTGTAATGTGCATCACTTGCGTGAGCAACTTAGCCTAGAAAAGCATTAGTTTATTTTGCCATAAGTATTTTTTTCAGGTTTGCCATCTTTACACATGTTCAGAAGGAAGTTCTCTGTGTTTCACAGACAGCTCACAGAGGAGTCAATTCTGTCTTCTGCTGGGTTTGCTGCACAAGTCACTTCAGTTATAGAGTGCCTGATGTTCCCAATGAGCTCAAGTCTTACATCCATTAATTCCTGAGGCATTAGCTCCAATGTAGCATCATCAATCCTGACAGTGCTATGAGTAAATTATTCTTATTGAAATGGCTGCTATATACCGTGCAGGCCCAAGCCAGGATATTGCAGTTTTAAAGGCTTTTCAAGTCCTTTATAAAATAATGGAACGATCACAGCATGGAATTTAGCCATTTGGCCCATTATGTCCATGCTGGTCCTTTGCAACAGCAATTCATGTTGCCCCACTCCTCTGCCTTGGTAATCTCAACCATTTTCTCTTCAGATAGTTATCCAGTTCTCTTTGAAAACCAAGATTGAAT